CCATTAAGTATAAGAACATGCTGCTTTGGGGTGCTTACACTAATTGCTAGCAGGTTCTTCTAAGCTGGTTGCACTGATACCTTAGACATAGCAAGCTGGGGTTTGTATGAACATGCAGCCATTCTTACATTCCTTTACTTGTCACCCTCCTTGGTCTCATTTCCTCTCTAGTTTTCAGCCCTTTTAATTTAGCACATCTCTGTATTTAGGGTTGAGACACAATGACTGTATTGTTGAATTCCTTCCAAGTTCATTTAGCCATTCCTCTTATAATTCATTCAGCAAGTTTTTTTTATAACTAAAGATGTGCTCTAATGCACGTGCTGCATACCAGAAATTGAAAGATAAATACAATATCTTGATCCTGAAAAGATTAAAGAGGAGTATAAATATAAAATAAAAATAAAGAACAGTGGTGATGCAGTTAATGCTATCATAAGATGGATATGAGCCTCTTGTAACAGATTCATTGTTGTTAAGACTGAAAGCCATACTACACCATAAATAAAGATTTGCAAAATTTTCCTTTACAATTTTTGAAGAACTAACTCAGGAAAGATTGCTAAAACACTCTAACTTTACACACACATAAACAGACACACTTCAGTTGCTTCTAGTGACCTGTATACTTTCATATGGCTGTGTGAATACTTAAATGTCTATGTTTAGATTTAGCCAGATTTATTCGTGGCATTTTAAATATATAACATTCTCATTAACTGACACTTTAAGTAGTATGATTAATTCAATGTCCATAAGATGAGTGATTTATTCTGATACCTGGCATTGGTGCACAATGTCCCCAAAATATCATTCAATAATATGTGCCAATATTCTAGAGTTTTGACTCTTGTTTGGTAAGACAAAGATTAAAAGTAAATATAAACTCAAAACACAGTAATAAGTAGTGTAGGCGTAGACACAGCATTGTTTCTTAGGTACGACTCATCCAAAGTATCTTGTCTATCAGTAATGGCTTGAATGTGCATCTGTCTTAGTTTTCCTTGAACTTCAATTTGCAGCATGGTGCAGCCTCTGGCATCAGGCTGCCTAGATGGAAAACCGTGCTCTTTTGTTTATAATCTATGTGACTTCCTCAAGACTCGATTTTCTTACCTATTAGACAGAGATAGTAATAGTGGCTACCTTTCTTTGAGAATATAAAGTAGTTACTGCATCCATGTCATTTGTTTATCAATATGTAGTTATTGAAAGCTGAGTATACCTAAAACACTCAGCAAAATGAGGATAATTCAGCCACTACCAAAGGAGAACATGAGAGAAAATGAGACTAACATCATAGAACCTTGCCTACTTTTGTAACTTATAAAGCTAACAGATTTAAATACCTCAAATGTAGTAATGATTATAAAATCAGAATGCATTGATCTAGTGGAAACATAGAGTGGATCATCATAATTCACTCACAGCTTTTTTTTCTCCTCATGCTACATAGTTTTCCAGCCACTTTAGCAAGAAATGATGAATGACTGGGAAAGCAGCTCACATTGTAAAGTTCTTACCTCCTATGTACCAAGCCCTTAATTCACTCTCCAACACCACATAAAATAGAATATGGTGGTACAATCCTATAATTTTACACTTGAAAAGTAGAGACAGGAGAATCAGAAGTTTAAGGTCATTGCTGTATAATGAGATCCAGGCTAGCCTAGACTCCCCAAGACCCTGTTTCAAAGAGAAAGAAAGGGAGGGAGGGAGGGAGGGAAGGAGGGAAGGAGAGAGAGGAGGGGGAAAGGAAAGAAGGAAAGGAAAGGGAAGGAAGGGAGGGATACAGGGGGTGATGGGGAAAAAGACTAAGGGACAGAAGGAGAGAGGGATGGAGGGTAGGACAAAGGGATGGAGAGAGGGACAGAGGGATGGAGGAAGGAAGGGGCAGAGGGAGGATATTTCTTCATAGATTTCCAATTTCAGTCAGTACTGAGATTAAGAAACTAGAATTTTAAAAGCATTTGCTTGTGTATTAATATTTGATAGTTCAGAGAGTAGGAAGGATAAAGTAGTGAAGTGCAACGGTAAGACCAACATGATGCATGCTCTCATGAGGATCATATCCCCAAGATTTGGTGAAAGCTACATCTCACTTTCATGAAAAGAAATCTCACCTTTTGAAGTGAGAATGAAATGACGGTGTATGTACTTTTCTTATCCATTCCCTAAAATGCTGGATTTGAGGTAGTAAGGAAGCAAACCTTCAGGGAGGCTGTATCTAAACAATGGCAGGAGTGGACTAAAGTCCCATGTAGGTGGGGATTGACGTGGGAAAGGGGATCCTGTAAATGCATCGAACAATTGTCAGTGAGGAGCTGTATCTCATTGGAAGCACTGATCCTAGTCAATTCACGTGGAGCGAATTGCCTCTTTGCAGTTCTCATCTCATCCTTCTGTACAGTATTATATAATATTAGGTATAGTGTAAGGAGTAGGTTTTCCTCCCGCTACTGGTCTTGTCCCACTGCTGCACCAGCCCCAAATAACACACAGAGACTCTGTATTTGATATAATGCTGTTGGCCAGGTACTAGTTTCTTATTGGCTAGTCTATTTCTTAAGTATTAGCCTATTTCTGTTGATCTATGTATTTCCACGTGGTCTCATCTTACTGGGGAATAGGGCAGGCATCTTGTCTCCCCAGTCTCTCCATCTTGACTCATCCTTACTACTTCCTCTTTCCTCCTCGTCTCCTAGTCCCTCCCCTCCTATCTTCCTTTCCTATTGGTCAACAGTACTTTATTCATTAACCAGTATGAGAAGCATATTTACAGAAAGACTTCTCCCATCAGTATAGATTTCAGAAATTTTAATTGCCTTAACAATTAGAGATGTGTACATTCCTGAATTTCTCTGTATTTACTTTGTAAGCTTGAAAAGCCCTGGATACCTCAGTTGCTATTTCAATAGACAGACAGTGTCATGTACCTTTCCATCCTTTGCTTATGTAAAATCATCATAAGACTCTGGGACATCTTGACCAACAGTTAAAACCTAATCTTCCTTAAAAGCACTAAGAACTGCCTTACACAGAGGCAAGTTGGCTTCACTGCTTCAATTCTTTAAGCCCATTGGCTAAGATAAGCCTGATCTACAGAGTTATTTCTTCAGGGCCATCCTGAGAGAGCATCTGTGAGCTCAAGCAGCACCTGACTCAGATGTTCAGATCTCAAGAGGCAGCAATGCTGGGCTCCTTCCCACCCAGCTGAGGAAGGAATGCCACCCTCGGGGATTACGGATCTAGACAGTTGCCACCTATCCTCACTTTTATTTCTGAAATAGATGAATATAAAACTAATCAAGTGCTACTAGTGAAATTTTTCTACACATGAAAAAATATTTTTAAGCACACTAGTACATTTCCTGCCCATAATTTTAGCAGTAGTCTAGGTAATTCTGACACAGATGATCTAAAGACTGCATTCTGAGAGTAGCTAGTATGTAGACACAAGCCCTTTCTGGGTTACAGTCAGCATCCTTGAGCAGTGAATCAGCCAGGTGTCAGGATTACTGCTTAAGAGTACATAATTCTAGCATTCTAGGTACTGCCTCAGCTTCCACTGGGCCCAGGTATGTGTTTTCAAAGTCCCATGGGCAATCCCAATTTGAAGGGTACAGTTTTAAAGGAGAAGGGTTAGGCCTAAAGTGTCCTACACTTTACTAGCTTTCTGATTTTATGTATTGTTTAATATCTTAGCCTGTATAATGACTGCTACAGAGTTTAGATGAAGCAATGAATGTTAACAGACAGCATGCAATGAATAGTTATTATTGTATTGTACGTGTGTGTGTGTGTGTGTGTGCACATGTAATGTATTCAGAAGTAAAATTGTGATTCACAATTTCAAGAAGAACATATAGAAAAAATACAAATATATCTTTTATTTTTATTCTATAGAAGTAGTAGGTTTGCACACACCAAACATACAATATGCTAATTTTTTAGATTTATTATTTCTAATGAATATGGGTGTTTTGCTGAATGGATATATGTGCAACTACATATATACAGTGCTTGCCAAGACCAGAAGAGGGTGCCAAGATCCCCTGAAGCTGGAATTACTCATGTTTGTAAGTCACCATGTAGGTGCTATGTTATCTACAAGAGCAGCAGGAGCTCTAAACCAAAATGTAATATTCCAAATAACAAAATACATTATAAAACAGAATTAAGATAATGAAAAATTATAAAATTTGTTTTACAATGTTTAATTTTAGTTTAGGTGACCTAATTCTCTTTAATTCACCAAAGATTTCTTTAGCCTATAGGGAAAAAAACAAAAAACAAAACAAAACAAAAATCAAAATGTTAAAGCCATGAACAAAACGCAATTTGAATTTGTCACTTATTATGTAAAATAGGAGCCAAAAATAGAAAATGTATACCTTGGAAAGGAATCTTGGGATGTGATGAAAGAAACCTGAGAATTTCATCATGTAAATATTACTTATAGGGTGTGCATATTCCAGATAAATTATTTACACCTTTCACTTTGTTCTCAAAGGGTTTTTTGTGGCACTCTACAGGTAACCACTGAAGGTCTCATTCAGCACATTAAATAGTGCCCTGTAGTACTGGGGAAATATCTCTACTGATAGCATTCCAAATAATGTGTTTGACTGCTTTCTGTTTTACTGGCCTCTGTAACATTTTGTCTCAAGCTCTTACGGTTTACCCATTCAATGAAGGAAGTATGGGAGTGTGTTTCAGTCACTTCCAAGGCAGTTCTTCTACAGTAGCCTATTTGAATTCTTCAAATAGCCTTGTGAGACTTATGCACATTTATTTTGATTCACTGTTGGGTCCTCTGGATTATTTACTATTAGTTCTGTGTTGTATTTTCATCTCAGAAAACTGGCAGAACTTCCCTGGAAGAGTATAATTCGATTCTATTGCACTTTGCCCAGCTAGCACTTCTCCCATTTGTATTTTACTTATACTGTGGTAATGTCACTATTGACGTCCCACATTTTATTCCTTTCTTCCTTTAGGTGTGTATGCAACATTGACTGTTCTCAAACCAACTTCAACCCTCTCTGCGCTTCTGATGGGAAATCTTATGATAATGCGTGTCAAATCAAAGAAGCATCGTGTCAGAAACAGGAGAAAATTGAAGTCATGTCTCTGGGTCGATGTCAAGGTAATGTTCGTAGCAAAATTTCATATCAAAGAATGTTTTTAGTCTCTGTGCAGAAATGAAAAGTGAAGATAGCTCCTTATTAGGCAGCTATCTCATTTCCGAAAGACAGTTCTGACTCATAATGGATCTCGTAGTCAGCTATAGGATTTGTGTTGATTATAGGTGTTTGAGGGTCCATCAGCAAAGGTGCACGTCTTTTTTTTTTTTTTTTTTCAATATAATGGGACTGTATTGTCACAGTGCCATGAACACAGGAGCCAGAACTCAGAACAAAGCAGCCATTCTCCTGACAAAGGCTAAAGAGGAAGTCTGGGCAAGAACTTAAGAATTGATTAGAAATGTTGGGATTAAAAGTGAATCACACTTTTTATGTACTGACTCAATAGAAATATGTTTGAAAGAAATGCCTTAGAGAGATTGTACTTACTTTTCTTGTATTGAATGTATCTCAGTTACAGTTCTGAACCTTCTTGTCCCAACCCTCAGAAAACCGATACCATTCTATTATTCACACAAACAAACACATGCGCATTGAAAGTCACCTCTCTCTAAGAGCTCAAAACTATAATTGAGGGTTTTGCTGTCATTGTTGGGGCAAACAGCAAACCTTACCTGTAATAAGGTAACGATAACGAAGACACTGTTGGAAGAGTAAATTTGATAATTATGTAGGAAATGGTTAACTGGTTTTTATTGTTAATTTTTTAAAACAGATAACACAACTACAACCACTAAATCTGAAGATGGGCATTATGCAAGAACAGATTATGCAGGTATGTGAATTTTTCTGGTAGTAAAATGGGAGCCTTTGTATGAGCATATTCAGCAATACTGTTTACCATTTGTCTTAACCTGAACATTCCCTGATCTCCTTTCTTAGTTCAAGCTCTTAAATGGGCAAGAGGAAATTTTTACTGAAGCAAATTAGACACACTTTTTATTTTCTTCCATAGTTAAAGCAATTGTCAAAGATGTCAGTAAGATATAATTAAATTGTTTTGACAGTGCAAATGGTACAAATGACAAAACATTTATCAAATTAATGGGCATCAATGGAAATTAATGCAAGGTTTGGCAGTATATTGTAATAAATGCAAATATTCTTGTTTGAATTTTCATAAAAGTCAACAGTTGAAAGCTTGCTGGTCTCTGAAAAGATAGAAATAAATGAGAGCTACAAGTGCTAACATAAGCCACTTCTGCTTCTGCTCCATGCAGAGTTAAAATGGATGCATAATTTATTTTTTAAAGCAACTAGCATGTTTCATTTATTTAGATTCCAGAATGCAGTTTATCAGACATGCAAAGTTATAATCAGTTTTATGTGAAAACATAAATCTTATTTAGTAACTACAGAATTTACTTTGAGTAATAAAAAAAAAAATGCTACCTAATTTAGATCCCCTACAGTGAGAAATGATTGATGGGAATGCAATTGGAATTTTAGCAGATGCCTATAATTTAGGGGAATTTGAGTTAAAAATATAAAAATAAAATTATTAAGCTTTATAAAAGCATTCAAGGAATATTTATTTATTTATTTATTTATTTATTTATTCATTTACTCTTGAAATTTTGAGACAGAATCTCTCTGTGAGCTCTGGCTATTCTGGATATCACAGACATCTGCCTGCTTCTGCCTCCTTAGTGCTGGGGTTGGAGGCATGCCCTACCCTACCCAGTTTCAAGAGATTTTTAAAGGGAACTTTTCATTTAGCTACAAAACGTTTGTAACCAATTTTATAACTAATATTCAAACCAAAGCAATTACTTCTTTTTCTTCAAATATGTACTACCATTCATTCGTATTTCATTATCCCATTTTACTTAATGATAATTATCATTATATATAAACAAATTCCAGGTAATATTTTAATTACTTGCACATACCAGAATGTGGACACAGTATTTTTAACTTTTGTATTTTCAAAGCCTGAAACTATCAGTTATGCAATAGAATAATGTTAGGTCTACTATATATGTATATCATAACCATTCCCAAAACACCTACTAGCGATATTAATGGATGCTCCTTGAGAAGAATAGAGTATTGAAGTATGTTTAAGGGGTGTTACGATAAACAATTTAGCTTCTCCCATCACTCCTCTCAGCTCTCATTTCTGTTATACAATCTTTATAAATATACATGTTTTATGTAAAATAATCTCTAAGAGAATGGGTTCTGGGATTGGTTCCAACCCTTTACAAATTTTTACCAAAATCTGAGGATACTGTAGTCTTTTATATAAAGTGAAGGGATGTTTACATCTTACCGATGTGCATCTTTTCTATGTCTTAAATAATCACTAGATAATTATAACATTTAATAAAACATAAATTCTGTGAAAATAGTTGTGGTATTGTATTGCTCAAGGAATAATGATTTTTAAAATACTCTGTACATATTTTACAAGATGAAACTACATATATTTTGGATCAACAATTAGTTAAATCTATAAATGCAGAGTTCATGGATATGGAAAGCCATTTTATTTTAATTTATTTTATTTTTCTTATTTTACATATCAATCCCAGTTCCCTCTCCCTTCCTCATTTCCTCTCTTCAATGCTCCCATGCCCCTTGACCACCCTCTCCCCCATCCCCCCCAACTCCACATATAGGGTGATGCCTTCCAGGAGAGGTCATCTAAATCTGTCAAGTCATTTGGAGTAGGGACTAGGCCCTCCCTTCTGCCTCTAGGTTAAGGGAGTATCCCTTCATGGGGAATGTGCTCCCAAAATCCTTTTGTGCATCAGTCTCATTATCAGAGAAGGGCATTTATGGTAGCCTTTCCACTGTTGATCAAATTGTTGGGGTCAGCCTTGTAGATCTCTGGATATTTCTCTAGAGTCAGTTTTCTCTTCAAACCTATATTCTCTCTCTCTCTCTCTCTCTCTCTCTCTCTCTCTCTCTCTCTCTCTCTCTCTCTCTCTCTCTCTCTCTCCTCTCTGTCTGTCTCATCTATTCCTCCCCTGACTCAATCTTCCTAGTCCCATGTGCTTTCGTTTCATCCCCTTCTCTTTCTCCTAGCTCCCTCTCCACTCACTGCCCCCCCAATATGCTCAGGAGATCTTGTCCCTTTCCCCTCCTGTGATGGACCTTCTATGAATCTCTTAGAATCCTCCTTGTATCCTAGTGTCTCTGGCAGTGTGAATTATAGGCTGGTGATCCTTTGCTCTATGTCTAAAATCCATATATGAGTGAGTACATACCATGTTCCTCTTTTTGTGACTGGGTTACCTCATTCAGGATGGTTTCTTCAAGTTCCATGCATTTGCCTGGGAATTTCAAGATTCCATGTTTTTCCCCCCGCAGAGTAGTATTCAATTGTGTAAATGTGCCACTTCTTCTTTATCCATTCTTGAGTTGAGGGGCATCTAGGTTGCTTCCATGTCCTTGCTATTACAAATAATGCTGCTATGAACATAGTTAAGCAGATGCCTCCTTAGCGCAGTAGGCAGCGTGTCCATCTCATATTTTAATTTTTCTTAATGGTAATTTCTATTTGTGAAATTTCATATAAATGTAGGTAGTATAATATCATGAGTCTTGATGCAATTGTCTTTAAAAACCAGTAAGAGCAAGTCATGGCTACCTCCCAACTCTCATTCTCTCTATCCTTCCATAATAGATACAAGAATATGTCAGAAACCACAACTGAATTCATAATTTATCACACATATAAAATAGCAATTTTGTTTTTAAAAGACCACAGTACTTTAGCCATCTTTTAAATACACATGACCTCTTATAGTACACAGCATTCATCAAAATTTCTTGAAAAATAACACCTTCCTGTGAAACATTTTGGAAGGCAAGTGTTCCCAAAAGTGCACTGCCCAGATATGCTAATCCATGAAAACTTATTGTAAGTAATAAAACATGACAATGAAATTAATATCTGAAACTACGTGTGCTCTAAAATTTAAATAGAACCAAATATGAATATTATATTTACCATAAACAACTATCTTATTGTATTATTAGCTATTGCTACCACATGCACTTATAATAACTTTATACCTCCTTTGAAAACTAAATTGTTTGAATAAAAGTTGCATTCTATGACTATCTTCTCCCTTGAACTATCCACCACTGAACTTATAAGAAAGTCAAGTCTTTCCCTGGAGATTTTCTTCCTCAACAAAGAGCTTTGAGGTTCTCCAGCAGCCCATGCAATGCCTGTGAATGTACACATCTGTACCAGCAAATACCAACATAGAGCCTGCCAGCCACATTGTCACTCACATTGCACATCACAGTTCAGTTTCAAAGAGAGCAGAGTTGAATTTGATTTCAGACAGTTAAGCTATGAAGTTAATTACCACTGTTTTTAGTTCACTTTGTAGTTTTTATTTTTAATAATATTTTATCCATCCTCATCTTTGAAAATTTCATGTGTTTAAACACTATAGCTTAAAGAAGTCATCTACCATTTCCTTCCTCCACGTCTTCCTGTAACCTATGCCTTGTCATTCTCCCAACTTTACATCCTCCATTTGTCATTGTTATTAAAAACCCCTTGAGTCCAGCTGTTGATGGCTGCTGAGGAAGGGAGAATTAGCTCTCCTTGGAGACAAGATCTTGTTTTCCCATGCCCATCAGTGGCCCCATACCTAAGCACATGTGGGCTGCACAAATTGTTTTCCATCCTAATGTTATCTCCTAATGGACATGTAAAAAAATGACCAGGTCACTCAACATGCTCCAGATTTTTCTAGTTTGACAACAGATTAATCTACTAAATCTCAAAGAAAATCTTGTAACATGAAATGTATAATGTTTGATGGCCAGTAAGCTACCTTATGAGGTCAGGATGCTTGCTGCCAATTCTAATAATCAGAGTTTGATCCCAGGACCACTCAGATGGCAGGATGTATCAACTCTTGCACATTTCCCTTTAACTTCCATCTGCACGCTGGTGCTAGAGGTGCATATGAACACACAGGGACACAAATAAGCACACCAAATAAAGAAAATGTAAAAAAAAAAAATTAAAGGCTATGTTTAAACATACGTGCTTGCTAAAATCCAAATAAAAGATAGTAACAAAAATCAAAAATGTTAATTATGACTGGTAATTCATAGTTAAACGTGAACCAGATACTCTAAACCCTCCTAGAACTGACTTCAGTTACATGTGATATACATGAATATCAATATTCTTATTGAAATACACCATATTGGAAATCCTTTCAATATTTGTGTTTCTCAACATTTCCAAGCTTCAGTACGATTTTCATTTTCCCATGTTTTAGAACATAGAATTTGGAAATGATAAAAGAATCAAATGGAGAATCAGTATGTTTTTGTCCTGATAATTTGTATTTCATATGTTTTAAACTCTCCAAAGGGGGAAAACAGGAACTATGTGACTCACATGCCTAAAAGTTTGTCCTACACTCACAATTAATTTGATGTCACAGCAACTTCCCTTGTTAAACAAATGTCCATGGACTCTCCCACCAGAAGGAAATAGCAATTGTAACTTACTCATTTTTCCAGATGTAACATTAGTACTGTAAGCTAAGGAGCCTTTATCAATCCCTTCTCATTTTTAAACCTACTTCAAAAGCTGTTACAAGAACACTCGTTTCTATATATAAAAGTAGCTATCTTCTTAAAAGCAAGTCTAACTCTCAAAATTAATTTGTTAAACCTCCTTTGTAATAACACCTAAGAGAAAGACTTCTGGCAAGACTGAATTTTAATTTTGGATATAGCAACAAACTAAAAAAAATAATAATATCTAAGACAAAACTAACCTGCAAG